AAGAGCTTTGTAACATGTGGGAGATGGGAAGTACCTGAAGCGTATGGATCCATTGGGGCCTCCAGTTTTTGTTGGCTAAAAGCTTAACAATAAAGAAATTAATTTTAACTAATAAAACAACTCTCATTAAGTAAGCTAAAGTGTAACAATTAAATGTTATGATTCAGACCTTATCATATGTCATAGAATCATTAAGTGCTAATGTTAAGAGGGGTGAAATCAGCTCTGGATTTGCCTGAAATTCAAACAACAATTCAGATTTCTCCAAAAGGGAAATTGTAAAGGGTAAAATGCAGGAAATATCAATACTCAATGTGCTTACATTTCTTTATCTTAATATCTTATAACAGAAATATAAACTTCATGGTTTACCTTAATGGCTTTATAGAGGGTCATCTTTATACTTGCTGCAAAATAAAAAAAGAAAAAGTTCAAGTTCAAGTATTTGTAAATATAATTACTGGTGTTTGTAAACTGTAATTCACATAAATGTAGTTGATATGTAATTGTGACTTGGCATCCACATCAGCAAAGTTTAAAAAAATGGATTAATTAACTGGTTATCGTTGCTATAGTAGGTATATACTGTGTTATTGCTTGCAGTTTGAACTTTTCAAAATTGAGTTTTCAAGATTTCAAATTTTTTTAACAATCATATTGTAAAGCATGAGTTAAAACAAAAGCAATTGAAGAGCTTACATTGAAAGTCTGAACGTTGTCTTCTTTGTATCAAATCAGCAGCATTAGCTGCCTCAATGAATGGGCTCGAGATTGGGCTGGAGCTTGCCACCAATTCCTATGAAGAGAGAACAACTGGCGGAAACTCAATGATCATATCACTCAAATTCATCAAAGAACTATAAGTTTTAAGTTTCTTCATATCTTAATTAACATCGTATTTTTCCCATTGTATTATTGTAGCTTTGAGTTATGAGATTAAGAAGGTTGGAATTACTTTTATGATTACTGTAGTTATTGCATTAACGTACATTGATTTTGTGTAATCAGTTGCTAAGATTATTAGAATTAGTGAAATCGAGGGTTGATCGATAATGGAAAGTAAAAACCGAAAGGGGAGTAAAAGAGAAGCATAATCACCATGCTAACGGCAGCCCCAAAGCAGTTAAGAACGTCCCTCCTTCGAACACCATTAATCTCATGGCTACCAGCATCGTCAATTTTACAACTAATGGTACCCTGTTCATGGAATTAAGTCAGGAAACCATCATATCAACACACAATAATGGAGTGATGATTATTCAAGTACTGTACTTACAGAATGAATTGGGCATCTGGAGGAACTGTAGGAGGGTAATGGAGCTACTGGAAGCAAAGTTGGGAGTGTTGAGAGGAAGGAAATCAACCCCATTGTTGCTGATTTCTTCTTCGAGCTCTTGGTCTGTTTGAATTTGAGATTATTATGCGCAATCCAAGTGGATGGGTGTGCGTGGATTTTATCCTATCCATCGGGAATTTTCTAGTCCTACCTCTGTGGCTCTGTGATCTTATTAGTGACATGTCCCGGATCATTAACAGAATTTATCCGACCCGAATCCACGTGGACCAATTTGTAATAAAAGTAATTATTGAAATTACATTAACAATTTTTTTTTATTTTTGCGACCGTCCTTAGATAATTTTATTGTTGCGATTTCCATCCATGTTGGATATAAAATGAAAAGAGGTTTATGTAAAAACATAAATATTCTACAAAAATCAAATATCTAAGTTTTTTGGATTATATAAAATAAAAATGTCATATTGTTTTTTTAACTATTATTTGATAAGGTTTCCTACTATTAGAAATTGTTTGTTATGCATAGAAACTAATTTACCATTTTACCATTGTTAGTTTGTTACAATCCTAAAAACCTTATGGATCGACACCTCATGTATTTTTCATGACAAGTGCATGCACACATGTTAATTACTCTTTTACTTATGTCAGTCATTTTATGTTTTTTTTTATAATCGACAAATAATATTATAAATAAGAAAAAAAACAACAAAAAGCAGCTAACAAAGCAAGTAGCTAGATGAGAAGCCAGAACAAACAAAGAAAAATAACAAGTTTTACAATCTCCTGTTTGGGTCTCATGTTACACGAGTAGGACACATACACCAATCAACCACTTTCATTGGAGGTATCCGTTTGTTCTTGAATACTCTATCACATAGTGCTTTCCATGACCACCACAATGTGCCATACCACCACATTCTCCCTTTGTGATCGACAGTTACCCCAATTGTATACAAAATCCAATAGTTCTCCAACATTTGAGATATCTGGGGTATGCATGTTGACCCATCCGTATATCCAATTCCACAGAGCGGGTGTGTAAGGGCAACGAAAAAATATATGATCTCCGTCTTCATCTTCAGTTTCACAATATCCGCAAGTGATAGAATTTATCGTGATTCCCCGTCTGAGTAAGACTAAGGCACAAGCCGTCGGTATACGATTAAGATCCGCTCTCCAAATAAAGCACATGACCTTGACAGGAACATCATGGGTCCAATTGATAATGGTTTCATTAGATGTAATCAGAGGTTTATCAAAAAAACATTCTCAAGATGTCCAATAGTAATTCCCGTCACTCGAAATTCCACAAACCCATGTATCTTGTCTAGAAGTCGGTTGGAAGGTTCTAAGCATTGAAGATAATCTGTTGATTTCATTGTCATGTCTAGCCAGCGAAGTGGAAGTTCGCCAGTCCCAATTTAGAGCTCCAATTTGCACTCTCTCTTCAATTTTACATCGTTTATGCCTTTCAAGTTTGAAGGGCTCTGGAAATACATCTTTCAGTGCGTCATTTCCGATCCACTTGTCATATCAAAAAAGTGTATTCTCACCTGATCCAACCTGTTTGACAATAGTCATTTTATGTATATAAACAAAATTTTCTACCTATTCAAAAACAATTTATTGATTTAATATCACATAGGTTTATTCAAGCATTTTTTAAAACTTCATCTTAATAGCATATAATTGATAAACACTTTCATAAAAAATACATCGGTTGTTGCAAATAAGATGTATAGAATAGACCTACACATTAAAAAAAAAAATTGTGAAATTTGTAATTTACTCTATGGAAATTACATAATATAGTAACTTCCGTTTTTTATTGTAAATTGTAATACATAAAGCTTTACTATTAATAACAATGTACTTTTTTCTTTCTGTAATAAACTAAAAACTTACAAAATGATAACATACATGTATTTGTCCACATGATCAATTATATTAATTTAAAAAACAAAACAATAACATATTAACATAAAATATTTATTTTATCATTTAACATAAAATATTTATTTTATCATTTAACGTCTGAGAAAGTAATTATCTATCAAAGTTATTTAAAATATTGAATAACTTTGATAGATTTTTATTATGTTTTAATGTTAATAATAACATATTAACACAAAATATTATATCAGAGGGTATACCATTCACGACTCGGGCTCTTGGCCAAGTGATAAGGTCATCATAAGCGTGCAAACCACCCGCATCCTACCGTCAGTCGTTATGAGTCGTTGTAAACACCAAGGCAAACCACACCCAATCACCTTTATTCTTCTTTTTCTTCTTTTTTTCTCTTCTTCACAATGAGAGTATATCGGCCACCACGTTGGTGGTTTTGTAGCGGTGTTGTTTGTTGACATGGAAGCTTTCCACGTCCCTTGGCATGGATAACATGGGGAAAATACCAAAAAGTTTTACATCTTTATAACTTAGCCTTTATTTATCATTTTTTAAAGTGCCCCTCAATTTTGTTTTTAGACCAATTGGTATACATATAACGAAGGAGAGTGTGGTCCAGTTGGCTACGAACCACAAATGTGAACACCACCCCAATGGTTAGTGATGGTTAATGGTCGTTATAAATTATGGTGGGGAGGACGAACCATTACAACCAATGAGTTTCTTTCTCTCTCTCTCTCTCTCTCTCTCTCTCTATATATATATATATATATATATATATATATATATATATATATATATATATATATATAATCAAAAAAATAAGAGGGCTATAATGGTGGTATTACCAACCTTTTAGTGGTTGTGTGTGGTGATGAAGCGACACCCATCACGTTAGTGGTGGATACTCCGAATGATCTTACAAAATTGGTCTATTTCAAAAAGCTAACATTACAATCCTATGTAAGGCTGTCAAAATCGCAATTTGATCGTACTACGATCATAGGTAAGGAAAATGAGTTGGGTCGTATACGAATCACATGTGGGGTAGGGTCGAAGGATCATAGAATCGGGATCTGATTTGAACCTAACTTCCTTTTATTTATTTATTTATTTTGAAAAAAATGAATTTACCATTTTATATCTTTTACCTTTTTTATTAGTTTACATCTTATCATTTTGTGTTGTGAGCTGTAACTAATGTTTTGAAGTTTTTATAATTTTTGAATGAAATACTGAATATTAATATTTTTATGTTTTAAAATTATAAGTTAAAATTATATTTTATTTTATAGGATCTTAGGATTTCACTCCCGATTTTACAAACCCAAAAATGATCTTACGTAAGATCCCGATTTTAATCCTATGGATACTATTTTTTTTTCAAGTTCGCTAAATTTAATTTACATTTTTTTTTGTAAATTATCATAGATTATAATTTTAAATATTTTAAATTGTAGGGATTTTATTTTATATATATATATATATATATATATATATATATATATATATATATATATATATATATATATATATATATATATATATATATATATCAAAAATTTCTTTTTTATTTAAAGCTAGAACTTAGAATTTTTTTTTTTAACGATTGACAAATTCCAGGTCTTAATTATTAGAAACTTCAAAGAAAAATCTAAATATAAGATAATCTATAAATCCACTGTAGTTTATTAAATGTTTTAAACAATATCTTTTTAAACGGCGGAAATTTTATAAAAGCAAACCATTACCAAAGAGAAAAACACAGGGAAAAAGAAACAAAAACTACAAAATGCTGACCAGTAAAAAAAAGACAGGGCAAAAAGATCCAAAAATAAATACACACAATAATTCGTTTGGTTTCGTATTTAAAAAAGATCCAAACCCAATAATATTTCCGAATCGGATCTATCCAGTCCCCTCCAAGGAAAAGCTCTATAAATACAAGGATCTTGCAGGGAATAGAGAAATTGTACCAAATATTGTGAAGCTTTTGGGGATAATAACTGGTGAAAGGTATGCATCTCTCTATATTTCTCGTATAATATTCGATCTGCTTGTCTTACAAATTAGGGTTTAGGATATAACGATTTTCCATGTTTCTGTTTATTTCGCTCTTGTGTTTTGATTAGGGGTTCCCCAAATCTTTCCTTGATCAATTTGATATTAGGCTGGTAATGGTTGGAGAAAGTGATTCGCGTGTTGGCGTATTGTTTGATTTAAGCATGAATTAGTTTGCTTCGTGTAGTCGTACACCTTGTAAAGCCCTAATTGAATTTATGTTGCTCATCCCCTTCGTCCCCAATTTTTCTGTGTTTGCATATACCTTTTGAGGGTGTTATCCTATGGAATAATTATAATGTAATTGTCAGCAGCTTGTAAAAGATTTTAAAATTCTTCAGTTTAGTGCAAAATATGACGAACGGATTAATGGGTATGGGGGGTGCTTGCATGTGCCTTTAAACATATTATTGCGGCTTCAGTTTTTTTAGGGTTAGTTGAAGAATTTACTGTAATTTCGATTAGATGATTATTTAGGAAAAAATTCAGATTTCAAGAACAGAAATATGAAATTACCAAAGCTATCATCATCTTCAAATCTTCAATCAACATATTTTCTTATTCTGATTTTGATTTTCTTGTGTATTTGGTTTCTGATTGTCTTTTAAACAACTATTACAATTATTGTAGATGGCTCGTACTAAGCAAACTGCTCGTAAGTCTACTGGAGGAAAGGCCCCTAGGAAGCAACTCGCAACCAAGGTATCATTCTCTCACTTTTTTTTTTTTTTTTTTTTCCTAATCCACCCTTTTTTACCATTTGAAATTTCTACATTGTGGGTCCCAGTTGCTTGATGAGAATTGAGAAACAGAGATCTTAATTAGTTCTAAAACAAAGTTATGATTTTGATATTGTGGCATATTAGGCTGCTCGCAAGTCTGCTCCAACAACTGGAGGTGTGAAGAAGCCTCATAGATACAGACCTGGAACTGTTGCCCTTCGGTTTGTACCTTTTTAAGTTCATTTCACCCAATCTTATCTACTGTTGATTGATGATGTTTGATTGAATGGTATTATGATGCAGTGAAATCCGCAAGTATCAGAAAAGTACTGAACTTTTAATCAGGAAACTGCCTTTCCAGAGGCTTGTTCGTGAGATTGCTCAGGATTTCAAGGTTAGTAGTTCACATTGTAATATTAACTGTTATAACACAACACAATCTTAAAGATATGAAAATTGTTGGTGATTGATTCTTAAAGTGTGTTGCTATTTTTGGGATTTGCAGACAGATCTGCGTTTCCAAAGCCATGCAGTGCTGGCACTCCAAGAGGCAGCAGAAGCTTACCTTGTGGGACTGTTTGAGGACACCAACCTGTGTGCAATTCATGCCAAGCGTGTTACCATCATGCCCAAAGACATTCAGCTTGCTAGGCGTATCAGAGGGGAGAGGGCTTGATTTGTCTTCTCATTTATGTTTGTGTTGCTTAAATCTAAATCTAGATGTTATGTTATGTTTGATATTAAGCTTTCTAGTTTGTACCTCCTTAGTGCTAGTATCAAGTTCTATTGTTCTTGAGATTCATGTTGCTGGATGATATTTTGGAGATTAATCGTTTGTTTAGCATTGTGGTGTTTATTGATCTTTCTATCATGCTCTCTTTTTTTTTTTGTACAATAACTAAAATGTTGGTTATTAGGAATTGGACATTTAAATGTGCATTTTCAAAGGGATTATTGAGACCTTTAGGGTTTAGGTTTATGTCTAATGGTACAATTTTAGCAAGGAGCAAAACAATGATGGAATAAAAGTGTGCCTCAATGACTAGGTTTTATGCCCAAATGAGAGTTTCAAGTGGTTGGTTTATGATCCGTAAGGAATGGGGTGGAGGACGATGTTACACACCCTAGAAAGGTGACCGGTTAAAGTGGAGGGCAACAATAGGAGTTATGTGCGACAAGAAGGTACTATTGAAATTTAAGTGAGTTTTATAGGGTGTCCATTAGGTTGGCTTTATTATATGGATCTGAAAGTTGGCCGATAAAGAAAAACATTAAAAGAAGATAAAGGTTGAAGAAATGAGAATGTTGCGGTGGACATGTGGCAAGTCATTTGTTGGACATGATACCAAACACGAAAATTAGGAATTCGGGTGGTTCAATGATGTTTAATAGGAGGCAACAAACAACGGTTGTTAAGAGAGTTTAGACTACTACAGTTTTGTTAAGAGAGTTTAGACTACTATAGTGTCTGACGTAAGGAGGAGATGTAGGTTGAGAAGGAAATGCGAAGATAGTGTTAGGTCAGCCATGAAGAAGTTAGGACTTACGGAGGATATGACTAAGATAGGAAATTGGAGAGGTTTAGAATTTGGGTTATGGAGTATTATTGATGTGCTTAGGTCTTAGATTCCTCTTCTTTGTTTATGCCTCTCGGACACTCTCTTAGCTTACACGATGTCATGGGGTTTTTGTTGATGGCATGCTGACGTGGACTACTTTGCCGGTAAACACCACCCCTTGACTAGATTTTTTTTTTTTTTTTTTGACATCAACACTCTCCATCTACACACTATTGTCGTTCACTGTTGTTGGTTGAAGAGTGCATCATATAAAATACATTGCATGGGATTTAAGCATTATATTTTTTAATTAAAAAAAGTTGGTAGGCAAGGATGGCAACACACCCATTGGTAGGCAAAAAATGGTAAGAATTGCAAAACACTCATGTGATCCTATATAACACCAAATTTTGGTAGGTAAAAACATCATCACCCTTTGGCCTTACCTAGTTTTGCTTCCCTATTTACTTTAAGCATGTGTAGCTAGTATTGTAAAAGGTTTTCTTTGGGTGAATGTTTCTACCACTTGGGTATTTATGCATGCTCTCTTGCTTACCCTCACCCCTCTACCCCTCTTCTCGTACAGATGTATTATGTTTTTTCAACTTATTTTCCCCGATTCACACCGCTTTTTATTCATCATGGGCCAACGCTTTGTATGTAGTGATCTTTCATAGATGAAATTGCAAAATTGTTATTTTTATTTTCTTTTTTCTAGCCGAAGGGATCTTTCCTTCACTCTGTGGGACAGTCTAGACATCTATGATTACAAAATTCTTTTTTCTAGCCAAAGGTCTTTTATGCAAGTGGTTTCCTTGTCTACATCCCCTTTACCCTATTTAGTATAGAACCGGGGTAATGTTATCGTTGTCTTGTATTGCATTTGATTAGCATTAAAGTGGATGAAAGTGGCATCAAAGGTACAAGTCTAAGGTGTAACATCATGATTCACGACTTATACATGAAACGTCTCCATACTCCAATTGCAGTCTACAGAAATTAATAAGATAATTAGTTAGATTAAATTTGAAACCTAGCGGATTTGTGAAATGTTGCACAGAAGAAAGATTATACGTGATAACTTTCTTCTTCTATCTTTCTCAAATTTTTATTGCACTCTATTAATAACATTGTCTAAGAATGGGTTGAAGAATACACAAAACTCTACTCTAACAAGACCAGCACTAGTACTAATTCTATATCAAGTAATGTATCCCTTTCTTTTGTTTCTCCCACCCAATAAACCATCTCCACAAATCTCATATTTTTGTTGATCCCCCTCTAAAAGCCTATCTACTTTCCCGCAGGATGGATATGGATATACATTGCCTGTGATTTTACCCAAAAAGTCTCTGCTTCTCAAAAACAACAAGAGCTTATTATGTTTACGACTTTTTGATGATTTCATTCTCTGTTGATTCCATTTCCATTTGACACAAGCAGTCAGGCAAAGGGTTGACATAAAAGGCCTCTTCTGAACGAAATCTATCCGTCCCCTTTGTCCCTGTGATTGGACCTTTTCTCTTCCGTGGTGACCCTTGCCTGCCAGTAATAAGATAAAACCAAATCAAATCAAAAAAAAACATCACTAGATCACCATTTTAACCCTTGTGAGACAAGGAGCATACCGTCTTTTATGGATCTCAATTATCCGGCTCGAAAGTTTCTTGCCTTCTTTCATTGTGCCATTACTAATTTTATCAAAAATACGAACTAGAAGTTTTCTGATCCAAAAAAATAAATAACAATTACAAGCTAGTAAAACAACATTAATAGCAAAAGTTAAGGATGTGAGTCAGTATTTAAATGATTTACCTGTCAGGAGAAATAGTTTTTCTGTGGCCTAAAAACCGCCTATGACCTTCAACAGCCCTTGCCATGTTCCCAGAATAAGAGGGAATGAAAATATCACTCTCCACTGAAACAATATAATCCAAAGCTGCCATTTGAGATGCATGCTCAATAAATGGATCAAGCTCCTCAACACTCGCCAGTTTCTCCTTCAAAAACAAACACATATGAATAAATTTTGCTTCAAATTCAAATCACCACAATTATTACAAACTACACACCTTTCTCATTAACGTGGGAAAGCGGGATTGAAGAGCCTCCATACGTGAATCCCCACCATAGATTTCTCCAGCAGCAATGTATATAGGAGTTGTTGAAGGGAATCCAAGGGCTCTTAGGAAGATTCCAACTTCTTTTGGAGTCAATGGACAATACCCTTTTGCTCTTTGTTCCATCGAATCAATGTCTTTCACTTTCCAATACGACGTATTCTCTCTACCAAAAAAAATAAAACATTACATTTAATGTCAACAAATGTGCGTGATAAATATTATTTATTTATTGCTGTAAAATATGTTTTTTTTTTTACCTAATGGAAGTAAGCTCATTAGCTTCTTCAATGGATAAATCATGTGTGCATCCACTAAAAGCAAGCATGTCCTTTTCGTATCTCAAATGCAATGCAATGTAAGGTCCATAAGCTCGCATCCGATCCACCAACAACTACAAACAATGCATTTAACTTATTAGATATATATTAAACAAAACATACGATTCAAAATTTAAATAAAATTATTATTTTTTTTAATTACTTTTCCCATTGCTTCTATACGAGGTGAAAAACGTAGGGCTTTGTAACATGCACGACAACGTAGCTTCTGAATATCAGGTGGAAGGTTATTATTGGCTAGTCTGGAATCAGATTTAGCTGCCCGAATAACCTAAAAAAAAAAAATAGGAATTTGAAATTGTCACAATTAAAAACAAAAACAGTGGTTGATTCAATTTTCAAATTAATCATTTTTTTGCAAAATGATATATAACTTTGTACCTGATAATCATCCCACAAGCTTGCTATTTCTTGCTCATAGTAATCAATCCCAGACCAGCTTCTAAAGTGCTTCACAGCTCTAGTAGCACTCATCAATTCTTTTGGAAGTTTTCTGATTATTTTCACATCATCAGCCAATGAAGTAATGAAATAATCTTCATCAAATACATCTGAGAAGTTGCTGCATATATAAACTTTATTATATCAAGAAACCCAAAACTTCAAATTTCAATTATTTTATTTATTTAAATAAAAAATGGTACCTTGTGTCCTGCCAAAATGAGCGTTTATCAAGCTCTGGAACCACAAGTGTTGCATTTATAATACGTGCAACTGCTACCATATCACATATCTGTGAAAACAAGTCACATTTAATGTACTTTCATTGATTTGTTTACAAATTTAAACAAGAAAATTTTAAAAGTACAATGATTTGATAAGGAAAGAACAGAAAACATACCCCAGCACGCATTTGATTGAGACCACCATTTGTATGAACAAGCAAGTAGCCTCGAGTTTCTTGTGGAACTAAGTAAGATTTATTAACATAACATCATAAAATGATAAAATAAAAATAAATCATTTTTTTTTTATAAATTTAAGAAGCAAAATCGCGAGTTGCTAACCTATATAAGATGAACTTGGATCAACACAAGGAGCAAAGTCACGATTAGGTGGCGGCTTCCATAACTTGTGGGAGTCCAATGAGCTGTTGGCACCATCCAACTGTCAAGTCTAAAGGAGTGAAAACATGAAAGATCATTTTTTCAAACTTAATGGTATTTTTTTTTTATGTTTTTTTGATATTTTTCAAGTTAGAGTGGCTCAAAAAACGCATTGACTCTTCCTTAATGACTCGGGTACAATGATTTCGAGAGAGATCATTTGTGAAATGGTAGATGAAAGATTTTAATTGGATTTAAAAGATAAAAAGGTAGAAACTGGAAAATTATAAAAGTTATCTGTTGAGTGAATCACATTAACCTTGAGAGCAGGGAGAGGAGCTTTTGAGAAATGGGGTTGAATCCAGCTTCGCTCTTTGCTCAACTTTTGGTATCGAATTTCATGTTGCTACAAACAAAATCAGACATTTTTAAGTTGAAATCCGATTAAAAAAACACACAGAGTTACAAGAAATAGTACTTTCGGTGATCATAAGATGACAAAAGATCATTAAGAAATCAAAATCAGAAGAAAAATCAAGAAATATAACTTTTTAGTGTCCAGATTCATGTTGCAACAGATTTAGAAACGAATCACGATCGGTGAAAATCGCATTCAATGATTTGAGTAATACCCACAAAAACAAAAGAGCAAAAAACAGAGATTTAAAAAAAGGTACGAAAACCCTTAAAATCCCCATTTGATCACAAGAAAAAATTAACCAAATACCCATAACGTTAGCAATGATTTGCCCAGTTTAGAAACTTTTAGTGTTTGAAGTTTTGAAAAAAATAAAGATTTGCA